GTCCGTTGCCTTGAAATTTTGAGTTTAACTAACTTTTTCGTTTTTATAGTGAATGAAATAGTGTCAAAATCTCACTCTGCCTGAATTTAAAACAAATACTAGATGCAAACATAAATTTTACTTCAAAATATAACTGACTATTTTAGATTTTTCTTTCTTTTACTGTTTCATAAGAACCTGTCACTGAGCTTAAGGACAGCTATGACTAATGGAGGACATTTCCGTCTTAGTGTTTTAGAACTCTTAGAATTAGCATTCAATTCTACTATTATTTTTCATAATAAGCTAAAGTTTTGCACTGAAAGATTAAAGTGCAACATTTAAGCCAAGCTATATTAGGATTATTTTTATTATTCATATATGCTTGTATGAAGAATAAAAAAATAACCTGAACAGAGTGAAGCAGGAGTACAAGTAACATCTCTCTCTCTGTCTCACACACACAATGATCATGTTAGATGTGATGGGATTTGAATATGATAGAGAACGGGAACCTGTGTACCAGGCTTTCCTTCTGCTCCCTGCGGTCCTGGTAGCCCAGAGTAACCCTAAAAAAGAAATCAGGCAAAAACAAACAAATATATTAGACATCCGTTCTATAGAGGTATAAAGCATCTGAAAAATATGTATCTGTCCCTTAATTTTTATAAGCCATCTGAAATGGTTCCTCTTCCAATAAAAACATAGAGTGCCAGAAGCTTTGATCTTCCTATTTATGGAGGAATGTTTAAAATAGTGTTATAGAATATTATTCATGCTTTTCTTTGCTTTTTGGCTGCATTTAATCCTTTAACTGCCTTGTCAACTTTCAGCCTTGATATTTGCTTAACTCTTTTTTTTTTTTACTTTATAAGCAGTGTATTTTACAATCTTGAAAGTTTGAGAAATACATAATTTTCAAACACCCATTGTTTTTTGGAGTTATTAATGCTTCTTGAATTACACTTCCATGTATATGTATGGGTATTTACGCAGCATCTATAACACCCTTTTCCTTGCCTAGCCTTACCTAGCCTGTTATGCTCTATGGCGGAGGTCTTCAACAGGGGGTCCACGACCCCTAGGGGGTCCACGGAGGTTCTGCATGGGGGTCACGAAAGTTTTGGTTGATAAGACTTTTTTTTAAATTTCCCCCTGCAATTTTTTTCCACCCATTGAAATGTTTTTAGATGCACATTAACATGAATTGTAGTAAACAGATAAATGGAGGCAGAAGATGTCTTTCAGTCATCGATGCACACATTCAGAGACACACACACTGCAAAAACTGTTAATCTAATTTAGTAATTATTTCTTAAAATATGTGGATTTCTTCTTAAATTGAGCAGACACTTTGCCGATGGAATAAGACCATTAACATTTAAAATAAGAAAAAACAACTGAAGTCTCTTATTTCAAGGGCATAATATCTAATTATCTTATTTCAAGGGTAAAAATGCTCATTCCATTTGCAGATCATTTTATTTTCCGGCTTAAATTAAGGGTGAATACACTTATTTTAAAACATTTTTACTCATCTGTAGAATGTTTAAAAATAAGTGTATTCACCCTTAATTTAAGCCGGAAAATAAAATGATCTGCAAATGGAATGAGCATTTTTACCCTTGAAATAAGATAATTAGATATTATGCCCTTGAGATAAGAGA